GAGGTAGAGCAATTCTGTAGTCGATCCCCTCCAAAGTTCGAGTAGGGGATCTACTACAGAATCGATTTACCCAAGGATTGACCTTCCGTCGAATCTCGAAATCATGAATCATGTAGAACGCCCCGTTGATCTACGAGCGTTATTTGTCTGTCCCTCTTCTCCGCAGCCTCTACGACAAAAAAGCCAGCTGGGGACAACTCAGTTCTGGCCGATCCCCCTCAAAGCTCGGGCCGGGCGAAAGGGGGGGATTGGGAAAGGGGGGGTTACGAAATTTGCTGCATGCAGCTGGTTTCGGCCTCACCGAGGGGCCCATTCCTCGATACATAGCCGCCTCCGGCGCCGGGAGGCGCCGGGAAAATCAGCTACGTGAGCTGATTCTCAAACCCCCCCTTTGCTATCCCCCCCTTTCGCCCGACCCGAAAAGCGGAGCTCCCGCGGCCCGGGCGCCCACCATCGGACTCGAGGCGCTTGCCTCGAGCCAGCCGCTCGAGGCGCTGTAGCCTCCGGCTCGAGAGGCGCGGCCTCCCGCCCCGGGGGCGCCCGCCTGCCTCGGCCCCTCGCCCCCCCCGCGAGCTCCCGACGGGCCTGGGGGCATATCCGCCGGGCTGCCGCGGCCCCCCGCGCAGTTCTGGCCTGCGCGGAGCAGCCGGGCGCTCATGAGGGGGCCACATGCGAACCCCACCCCCACCCCCCACGATCTCTGAGGGGGGGGGGTGGGGTTCACTTCGCTCGGGAGCTCCCGAATGAAGTGAACCCCACCCTCCCCCTCAGAGATCGTGGGGGGCAGGGGTAGGGTCCGCATGTGGCCCCCTGCTCATGGCCCTGGCCAGGCTTCTGCTCGTCCATGCCCTCTTCCACGGTCTGGTCCTGTTCCTCGTTATGCCTGCATTGTATTTGGTAGTGTCCGCCGTCATGGGCGTCATCCTGGCAGGTGCAGAGGACTGGAGAGCTATAGACGGCATACTTTACGTCGGGGGCAATCTGGTCCTCGTCCCCCTGACGGCTGTCGTGCCCGCAACCGCAGGCGGCACAGTCATCGACACCGTTGTGTCCATAGTGGGATTTGGCGCGTTAGGCTGGGGTCTTTCTATCATTGGTCTGTTGCCGTTCTGCGGTGCGACGAAGTCGTCACTACATGCTGCGCATTTGCCCCTGCACAAGGACCGGCACCCGAGTTTGTCGAGCATTCTGACCGTGTGCCTCTTTGTGCTTGTTCTTTGGCCGCTGGTATGCGTGGCAATCTCTGCTGCGATCGGCTCCGTATTGATGGTGACGGAAGACTGGACCTATGGCGATAGCTTTCTGCGATGCCTTGGAACCTTGAGTCACACACCGTCGCTCGCGCCGCCTCTGGATCACAGGCTCACAGACAGTGGCAAGGTCGTGATCCTGCTGAACGCGTTTCTTGCCGTTGGGATCACACTTGGCTGGACTGTTGGAGTCTGCCTGCTTCTGCCGGCCTTGGGCCAACTGGCCGATCTGTTGAGCAAGATGACGGTGATCAAGGGCGATCGCCTCCTCGACAAGAGCGTCAATTTTACCATCGTTGTCCTGGTTATCGTTCCACTGGCTGTTCTCCCGCTGACCGCAGGGTTGGGCCTGCTACTCCAGACCGCAGAGGGGTGGGGCTCCTTTACCGATAGCTTACTGTACGTAGCTGGTAACATTACAGGCATCCCCCTCTCAACGAACGTGCCCTCTTCAATGGGTGGAAAGATCCTCGACTTCATCGTCTCGTGCGTGGGCGTTGGGTACTTTGGTTTCTTGATTGCTGTGCTGGGTGGCCTGGAGTTCACTGACACCTGTTGTGAAGCGCTGGGGGGCAAGGCCGCTGGGCGCTTGAAGGCGGTGAGGTTTACAGTCGTGTTTTACGCGCTCGTCATGCCCATCGTGTGCGTTGCTGCCGCTGTGCCTATGGGCGTCATC